CCGAAATTGGAGTCACGAGGTCAAAGGTCAGTGGCACAGGGCAGATTTAGACATTTTTTGAGCCATGGTCTACTCGAGCATTGACAAACTTTACCTTTGCTTTCAGCTGCTGACCTAGTATTTTAGCTTTATTCAAAAGGACCGACTCGACCAACTTTCCCTTCTGTCTGACACTCCCGTGCCGTCCCAAGGCGAATGTCGGTTAACCTTTTGACCCTCAAGAGGCAGGGTTTAAACTTCTATTGTGACGTCTGTACGAAAGGAATTGACTGCCCGGGTTTGCTAGTAGCCAATCTATACATGCCTGGATGCTATGCAGCGTACAATGCCACACAGTGAAATTTCAAAAGCTAAATTTGGTTTAGAAGAAGGTGTAGTTCCCTTAAATCGTATAATTTCTATGCATCTGTACTGCAATATTACATGTAATATGCCACTGCCAGTGGCTGCTGCCGCAGGTTGCATGTGTGGTCTTTCGCGTGCCAGTTTTTGCCTGCGGTAATGGTTACATGCACCTCTCTATTGCAATTTGCAGCCACTCCTGTAGCCTTCGCGTAATGTAAGATGGATGACTGTCTTAACCTATTCTGCTCTTGCAAATAAGTGTTGCTACTACGTATGATGGAACGAAGCCTTCCATCTTTAATCTGAACGACACTTAAACGTAACGCGCATTCGTGGCCAACTTCATAAACATCCCAACGAAACATCTTTTGAGAAAGTATCCTGATACCATCCCTGCATTCCACTGTTTCGCCTTATGTAACACATTAGCCGGACTAAACAGGTTTACTAGAATCCCACTCACCGCTCCACCACGAGGTCACCGCATTAAGACGCTAGCATGAGTTAGATGAGCGCTGTCGCTCTGCGGCACTTGTTTAACATACCTATTCTTCCTAGGCTATAGTATAGAGTATAGTATAGATTTTTCCTATAGAATTCCTATATCTATTCTCTGGAGTCGTATCTTGTTTTCTCTGATTTCTCATTAAACTAAAAGGTATATTGTTATAGCCCCATCCAAAGGCACGTACTTTACGTGACTTGGGACAGACTCACACAGAGTTAGTAAAGACTGATAATAATATGAAAGCGTATGAAGTAACACCCCGTACAGACTACGAATGTGATATGGTATTTAATTAGCGCGTGCCAGGCCCGCGCTAAATATTTGCAGTGTGTACACTATGGACCGCTCAGTCCAAGTTGGCCCGCAAATGAAGCAGTGTCAGGCCCGGGCTAACTTGGCCCAGGATAAGTTATCCTGCTTGTGTGTGTGTCTATACACTCTAAGCGGGCCAGACCCGGTGCTAAATCACAGTATGCATGCGCATAGCCTTATTTAGGTCACATAATTGTACGCTTGCATTACCTCGCTGTCTGCGGGGTGACGTGGCGAGCTGAGCAGAGACAATAAAAGCAGGATCAAATATGCAGTCTGTACGCTCCCATTTAGCGCCCGTCAGGCCCTGGCCCGTTGTGTAACCTGTTGGGTTACATTATTGTATCTATGAACATCTATGTCACTTGAAATGGGAATGATGTGGCCTACATAATATCAGAGCATATCCTTGACATTATTTACATTATAATTGCTTAATCCGTTCATTGTGTCTATGCAGTATGCTGTAGTCCAGCGAAGCTAGCCATGTCACATGTATACCAGTTTGTGGATGTTGATGGTATACCTACTCAAGTTCTCAGATTTGGCAAGCTTGCACAACGACCACAGGACCTAAACAATGGAGAACATGCCAAAATAAGAAGTTTAAGTGATGACGATGATGTTCTTGTCTTGGTGATTCCAGGTGGGCCATAATAGTTTAATAGGTGATCACATGTTTCGTTTACGTTTTAGTTATGACTTATGCAGGGTGCGAAATTAACGGGAGTCCGGAGTCCAATACTCCCTGATTTACTGTCGGACTCCCTGATTTGACATATGCAGGAGTCCGTGTGACTCCCTGAAAATTCTGCTATACTAACTAGTTCGTTCCAGAGCACGGCCTCGCGGAATTACCGTATTTTTTTCAGCTAATGTTCAAAGAAAATTTGGCAGACGTGCAACCGCATGAATCTTAAAAATAAGCACATGTGTTATTGTTAATATCTTTAATGTTGAACCTCGGACTGCGGACTCCCTCTTTTTGCTGCGGACTCCCTCTTTTTGAGGGTAGGGAGTTCGTTGGACTCCCGTATTCAAAAGTTAATTTCTACCCCTGCTTATGTATAACTTATATCAATTGTTATACAGTACACAATCAATTATCCGAAATTGTAAATAACGAAAAGCTCCGAAAGTTTTTTTGTGTAGGTTGTCTGCACACTAGCGTACATTGTGTAGCTCGCGTTTGGCTGCATAAGCTTCACAAGTTCACTGCAGAAATATTAATGTGTTTGGCATTACTCATGCATATTGTACTGTACCGGTACATCACTTGGCTGCTTAAAACGTTGGGTTTTAGTACTGGCTAGTTGCAGGATATACAGTATGTATATCTGATTATCTGTACTGTACTTCCATTCCGAAATACGTGTCTGGTTCCAAGGGTTTCGGATAATAGATTGAGTACTGTATAATATACTAGCGGGATACCCGACGTTGCCCGGGGAAATCAGTGGCGTTACTCAGTTGGTGATCGCTTGGTTGAAAGGAAAATACCCAGAAAAATCCAACTATCTATCTATCCATGCATCCATCCATCCATCCATGCATCCATCCATCCCATTCCATGCCACCCCATCCCATCCCATCGCACCGCATCCCATATCCCATCCCATCCCATTTCATCGCATCTCATGCCATCGCACCGCATCCCATCGCACCGCATCCCATCCCATCCCATGCCATGCCATCCCATCCCATGCCATCCCATGCCATCCCATGCCATCCTATCCCATCCCAAACAGTAAAAAATAATAAGAAATCAAAAGATAAAAGACATTAAATATAAAAAATAAAAATAAAAAAGTAAAAATAATACATACTAGAGATAGGTAAAGGGGAAAAAAGGGAAAAGGGGGAAAGCCCTGCTGTTCCCCAGCTGGGACTCAAACCCGGAATCCCGGTGTAGGAGACAGACGTTCTAGCGAAGCCGCCGCCGTCGCGCCACTGCGCCGTTAAGAGTATTCCCCATGGATTCACACATACGTGATGTTAATCAGTACGCACCGCCATCTATTGATTAATAGAATTTTTATGAATTTTTAACTTTTTAAAAGTTTTGTTTCAGCCAGAACCACCTCCCAGACGTGCTGATTCTGAAAATATCTTTAGTTTTTCTCTAGGCTGCGGAGTTCTCTAGTTATGCGAGTACGAACTAATTCGGCTGAACAACTTTATATATACTAGCAGACTAATACCCGTATAACGACCAAATCGTGCCTTAAAATATAAACTTCATGTAAGTGACACAGTTGAAGTTAAAGGGAGAGTTTACTCTAGGTTCTAGGGTTATTTTCAGCTAATTTAGGTTATAATTACGCTACATGAAAAGTTTCATGGTTCAATCACCATTAGAAATATTTTTAAAAAATGTTTTAAAACTAACGACTACAGTTTGATTACAACGACGGTGGCGTCACTCAAATCGCACGATCTGATAAGTTGCGCAAAACCACTTTCCAGCCAAGGGCTACAGACCGAGGGTGTTTCTTATTTATTCATTTAAAAGCAAAAGGATTGTAATATCTTATAAACGACATATAGTTTCAGTTACAATGTGGATAAATTTGCCCTAAAATGCATATCGTT